GAGAATAACAATAACAATAATAATAATAATAATAATAATAATAATAATAATAATTATTATTATTATTATTATTATTATTATTATTATTATTATTACTATTATTATTATTATTATTATTATTATACAAATACATATTTATTTTTATATTTATTTTCTCAATTATCCCACATCGGTTGGAGAAGTAAGGAATGGAGCCTTGAGACTCCTATAAAAGGAGCCTCAAGGCTCCATAATTTCAATTGCAATGCTCATCCGCTAGGCAAGCTTGCAATGCCCATTCGCTAGGCATGCAGATGAGCAGACTACTTAATTTAAGAGCCAAGGCTCCATAACTAAGGAGTCTTATACAGTTAATTACTTTTCTTTTTTTAAAATGCCAATTGCAAACGCTACAAAATGTGTGTGTGTGTGTGTGTGTATATGTATGTATATATATATATATATATATATATATATATATATATATATATATATATATATATATATATTTTGATAGATTGATGGATAAAAATTATAATTAATTAAATATATACATTTATATAATACACTATATTTATTAAATAAATATAAATATTATATAATGTGCAAAGGGTATTTTTGGTATTTGTGATATAAAAGCTATTCCCAAGGGCATGGGAATAGCTAATACCAGGGCCCCCCGTAGGAATGGCTATTCCCCTTGCGAAGGTAATAGCTCATTCCTAGGCATGCTATTCCCATGGCAAAATGATTCAACCAAACGATAGAATAGGTCTATTCCAAGGAATGTTATTCCATTCCTGACCTATTCAATGAACCAAACATGCCATTAGTCTCTATCGATTAAAAACTAAATATTATTTATTTTCATAGATTATAGTTTGAATTAATCACCAAAATGATTCTCGGTCTATTACAAAATTGTCAATTTGGTCCTTAACTATTCCCCCCCCCCCCCCCCCTCGACCCATTTTGTATGTCTTGTCTACTCTTCATTCGTCAAACCAATTCTTTCTTCATTGCATATCATCTTTTGTAATTTTTAATTATTTTTAATTTAATTTTTTTTGTATTTAATAGCTTTTTAATGTAGTTTCTAAATATATAAATTTTATAAACTAATATTAAACTTAATATTATAAAAAAATTGAATTAAAATTAACTTTGGTCAAGCCTCATTAACCGAACCAGTCAAACAAAATGGGACGGAGGGAGTATTTTTTATCTAATTAAGTCATCGACATTAAATCTTAACCAATTTGGTCCTTCGTTCTGTCAATATCAGAAATCTGTTTAATTCAAGCGTATTGCTATAATTTCACATCACAAACATTATTTCCTTTCTTATTAAACCAAAGAGTTAATTAGAGAAATAGTCTCTTGACTATAGTGAAATTATTAATTTGGTAACAAAAAGCAACATAAAATTCCGACTAAACAAACAAAAGACCAAATTAGTTAAGATTTTTAAAATTCAGGACTTTTTTTTTTTAATGCTACTGGCTCTATTACAATGTAGTATCTGTTCATATACTTTCTCAACCTACTGAAACACAAAGAGCTAATGACGCCTCCACTGAAGCTCGAACTCACAACCTTCCAAATGAAAGTCCAACCCGGGTACCATTAAAATTCAGGACTTAAATATATATATATATATATATATATATATATATATATATATATATATATATATAGTCAAAGACCAAATTAATAATTTCAATATTAACAATGGACCATTTTGATAATTAATTTTTATGGTTTAATTGGAAAATTAAACTTTAAGTTAATAAGAAATGTATATATTCAATAAAAACACATAAATAACACTAAATGGATATAATAGGAATGAATTTTGAGGTAATAGTACGTTTGGTTAACGGAATGAATTTTGAGGTAATAGGAATGCTATTCCATAAAGAATGGAATAGACAATGAATATAATAGGAATTGTATTCTATTGTTTGGTTCGCGGAAGGAATAGACTTTAGGAATTATATTACATTGTTTGTTTGGTTTAAGGAATAGAAATGAAATATGTTTTAAAAGACATAAATACCCTTATAAAAATATGTTGTGATGGTGGTGGCGGTGGTGGCAGTGGTGGTGCTGGTGGCAGTGGCGGTGTCGGTGATGGTGGTTCTAGTGGGGTGGTGGTGACGGTGGCGGTAGCGGTGGTGGAGGTGGCGGTGGTGACGGTGGTGGCAATGGTGGCGGTGGTGGTGAAATAGAAAATAAATTTAATTGGGGATAAAATAGGAAATAGCAACTTTAGACTATTCCTAAGAACTCATACCAGGGGGCCCTTAGGAATCTCTATTCCCCTTGTAAGGGTAATAGGTTATTCCCGGGAATAGATGTTTTTACCAAACAAAGGAATATGTCTATTAGTGAGAATGCTATTCCATTCCAGGCCTATTCCGTGAACCAAACGTGCCATAAAAAATAGGTAATAGAAAGAGATAAGAGTAAATACCAGCAAGGGCCCTCGAGTTTGGTGGTTCCGCCATCTATAGTACTAAACTTTCAAATCGACCCTCTGTGATCCTCCGAGTTTCAAAATTGACATGCGACAGTCCTTCCGTTAAGCTTCTCCGTCTCAGCCGTGAATTCTAATGACATAATAGTCTTTTAACATTGTTTATCCAATTATTCGTAGCCCCCGACTCACTACCTGCCTCCGCCGTTGCATCACCAGCCTCCCCTGTCACATCACTAGCCTCCGGCGGCACCCCTGCTACCTCCCTCAAATTCTTCCCCCTTCTACAGACTTTTGATTTGTGGTGACGAGTTTTTTACACTTTTGGTCCCACGACTATAGTGGCACTAGCAGAATTGATCCACGACTTTTGAACCTTGTAATTTTAGTCCACGACTATTGATTTTTTTGCAAAAATGGTCCTTCCGGCCACTTTTCCGTCAAAATTCCACCGAAAATTTTTTTTTATCCATTTTTAACAGGGCTAAAATTGACATTTTACTTTTCTCAAAAAAATAAAAGAAAAAAATTGACATTTGACTACATACAATATTATTGGGCTACATACTACTGCCCCAGGCGTCGAAGTTCCTGGAGCAGGTAGGGCTGTCAGTAAGCGGCGGAGCGGCCGTGGCGTTCCCCGGGCTAATTGGGTTATCCGGCTGCAGCATTGGAGGCGGAGCCAGCACGCCTGCGGGATCATCCGAAGACATCGGAAAAGCTTCGTCGAGAGAAGCGGCGGAGATTCTCAAATGCAATCGCTTTTACCTTTTCGTTTTATGTATTTCCTTTATATTTTGAGATAAGTAAAATATCAATTTTAGCCCTGTTAAAAATGGATAAAAAAAAAATTCCGGTGGAATTTTGACGAAAAAGTGGCCGGAAGGATCATTTTTGCAAAAAAATTAATAATCGTGGACTAAAATTGCAAGGTTCAAAAGTCGTGGATCAATTCTGCTAGTGCCACTATAGTCGTAGGACCAAAAGTGCAAAAAACTCTTGTAGTGACTGCATTTAGAGCAGTAAAAGAGAACAAACTCATACTCTAATCTTTGCCAGAATCCCTTCGTTCCTCCTTCATCCGCCACAATTTCAAACCAAACCTTATGAATTAATGGTTTCAAAAAAATTAATTTATACCTTAGCCTTGGCTACGCTTGGTCTTCTTCGGCTCACCGTAGAAGAATTCAACGTCAACAATTTTCCCATCGGCGCACAAATCAAACAAATAATCTGAGCATCAAACAAATGATAAGGTAGCTTAGGTAAAAGCATATATCCATATCGCAACTATTGGGAAGTCTCTTCGCGTATTCCAGTCTGGATCAGACTAGCTTACCTTCAATGACCACTTGATTCTTCGCCAAAATCTTCTTGCAATCAAGCTCCGAAGTAAACCGAATCAGAGTATGCACCGCATCAATCGATCCTATATCCGCCGAGCCTGAGAGGGATTTTTCTTTCTTTGAAGTAATCATTTTTACCTAATTCTTTTTATTGATTTTATTTTCCTATTTTTATTTGTATGCCTTTTTCAAGAATTCTTGAATACACCCATATGTGCTATTAATATTTTCTGGATTTGAAGTTTAATTAACGTTTCAATTTAAGATTTCCTTTTCTAAATGATTTCAAGTTTATCTTGCGGAGTTGGATTTCTTCTTTTTTGTGCATGTGTGAGTGTGAGAAAGGGAGATTAATCTGTAAATTATTTTGCAGATCAAGACTTTACTTTTGTGGTTCAATATCTTTTTTTGAAGTAATCGTTTTTACCTAATTCTTTTACTGATTTTATTTTCCTATTTTTGATTTGTATGCCTTTTTCAAGAATTCTTGAATACACCCATATGTGCTATTAATATTTTCTGAATTTGATGTTTAATTAACGGTTCAATTTAAGATTTCCTTTTCTAAATGATTTCAAGTTTATCTTGTAAAGTTGGATTTTTTCTCTTTTGTGTGTGTGTGTGTGTGAGTGAGAAAGGGAGATTAATCCGTAAATTATTTTGCAGATTAAGACTTTACTTTTGTGGTTCAATATCACATTATATTATTTGTAAAATTGGGCACTAATAAGTTGGCCGAAAACTGAAGTGAAGATACTCGTGCTCATAGTAATTATTATCAAATGTCTGAAGCAAAAGATGAGCTAGAGATCAAGTTTAGATTGGCAGAGATCAGACATAGGGACTAAACGGATAAACAATGTTAAAAGACGTTTTTACCTTTATTTTTTGCAACAGATGAATTATAACTGGTTAAATTCAAAAATCTAACTACATTTCGTCAATTTAAAAGTTTAGAACTAAATGTGACAGAATCACCATATTCGAAAGACTTCAGATGACATTAACTCCAAGAGATAATTGTAATGGCTAATACAATATAATTTTAACTAATATTTAAAATAAAATACAACAAAAAATCGTCGAAAAATTATATAGTTAAAATAAAATACAACAAAGAATCGTCGAAAAATTATATTCATGAGTCATTAAAATTATTTAGTAATAAATAAATTAAAAACAAAATTGAGATAAAC